GTCTTCCCTTTTTCTATCTAAGCAATAAGGGCAGCGCTTCTTAGAAGCTGCAGCCCCTGCACACTTCTGTCCATCATTAGGACAGCTGTAGGGAATGTAATTTCATTGTACTTCACTGTGCAATGACAATAAAGCTTATTCTGATATTTTGATATTCTGAAATACTTCACACATAAATATTTATATATTTAGAAACAACTGAAATTTGTATTTCAGCTGAAGAGGCTACAATGCATCAAGAATGACATAAATTAGTATAAATGGCTACACACTAGCTTTAAACCAAGCCTTTTTTAAACTACACATTTCCGGTAAACTATTTTAGAAACTGGAACAAATTATTTTCTCTTACATTTACAACTTTCCCATGCTCACCTGGTTTCGAGCCACTGTTCCATCCACCGGGTCAATGTACTCAAAGTTCTCAGCCTTCTCCACGCTGTAGATGTGGTCGCCCACAGCAAACTTCTGACTGATGAACGCTTTGTCTGAGATTACACCTTCCAGGTCCCTCATCAGGTGGAAGGCTGCACGTGGGTCCAGGCCTTCGTAGTCAAACCTGACCGTCACAAAACACACATATACGCAGGCAATAAAGACAGAAAGCAACGTTTTGTTAACCACTCCAAGGAGGACTCTGAGCTATCACATAGCTGCACATGGATGGGTATTTTCTTTTCCAAATGATAGATGTGTTACAGATTTTGAATATGCCTGTCCTCTTTATCTGCGTCTTAAGGGAAATGTGTTTATAAAAGTTCTCAGTGGGAACATAAACAGCGCAGCAGCTATCAGTGGGAACACTGACTGCAGTTACTGTCACAGGGGACAGGTTGGAATAAGGATAAGCAGCAACATGTGAGGAGGGCTGGGAATAAAAAGGGAAGGTGAAGGTCTTTGAGAGACATACAGAATCAACTAAGATAGTATCGACTAAATTAAGAAGAGACAAGTGAGTTAAAATCCATCTGAAGTAAATAAACTCAATGTGAAAATAGCTTTGATGCAAACAGAAATGGAGACGGTTACATCCACAGATGTATCGGATGGGATTTTGTTTGTTACCTGCAGAAGTAGTTGCGTCCAAATCGGGCCCAGTGCTCTCTGACAATCTGCTCCACGCCTTGTTTTCTGGCCGCCATGATGGACAGCCATGCCAACACTGACCACAAGCCATCTTTCTCTCGAATGTGGTCTGAACCTGAAAGATTTAAAAGTTCTTAGCTCTTAAGAAACTTTTGAAGTAGTCACTAAATATAACACACTTTATTTTATATGACTGGGATGTAACTTAAGTCACAGTCCACTGGCTTAGACTTGCACAAACAACGGAGACAACGGCCGCAATTTGCATCATATGCAGGAACCCAAACAAGACCTTTAAGCTCTGACATGGCACTGCATGAGAAATGTTCATGATATCATGATCCACGTAGAAGAAAATAATGTTACTAAACACAATCTGCCACATCCAGAAACATAACCAGCAACAGTTTTACACTTGAAAGGAAGAATCAATGTAACCCCTAATGTGCATGTTTGCGCTGCTGTTGTTCAGCGTATTGTTTTTGTACTATTGGTGCTTAGTGTATTATTAGTTTAGCGTATTTCTTAGTTCATATCTTAGATCTTACTACTGTTTTTCTTTACAATTTATACTTTTTTTTTTTTTGGATGTAACTGGGACCCTGTGTACACAATTTTGTTCGACCACATGTGCCACATGTGGTGCGATTGACATTTAAAGAAACTTTGATTTTGACTTAAAGACTGCTGCGATCGTGTCAAATGGACAGAGGACAATACGTGGTCAAGTAAGTCCACATTTGAGCTCACTTTTTGAAAAAAATAAAAATACCCCATGGATTTACTCATTGAAAAGAAAAGTACAAATGTACAACAGACAGCATCTGTAAATGTGTGGTGGTTCATAAGTGAAAATAACGTGTGTGACGGCACCACTAATCAATGGTATTTATTGGAATTTTAGAAAAAAAACGATGCAACCATCAATGAACCATCTTTTCTTTGCGGTTATCTTGGGCAATGTCAGCCCTTGTTAAGCTGATTTAAAACAGCACAGCTTCATAAATGCAGACCTCTTCTGCTAATAGCCCTGCATTCAGTCCACATCTGCCTCCTGTTAGTAAATTGCAGATTCAACGTGAATCTGAGCAGTTGCAATGTACGCCAGCCATGTTTTTCAAAACCTAAACAAGCGAGTCAAAGTGTGTAAACACCTAAAAGATAAAGTAAATGTCAAATGAGCATATTTGACAGGAAAAATTACTGATCCACTGAAGTGAAGAACGTTCAGACATCCATCATGGCTCTGACCTGTTTTTTTCTCCTAAAACTAACCAAAGACCAAAAGGTCAAAAACTTTTGAGTTATCAGTGCAAAAAAAATCATGTTTCTTTGTCCATTTGCTGTACTATAGATTATTTCTTCAGTGTGCATGTGTACACAGAAAGATGAAAAATGTACAGCATAAACAAAACATGCATGTAAAGTTGAAGTTGAACTTTCTAAATGATGATAGTTTTTTAAATGATAGAACAACGTTCACTGTTTAACATCTTCAAGCTAAGCTCTGTTTGTTTGACGTATTGACCAAGAACTCAAAAGTCCTTTTAAATGACTGTTTAGTTGAGCTCAGCATGTTATCAAAGAGCAACGAAACAGAAAAGGAACAAAATCTTTGCAGCGCAAACAATCTCTCCTTCACAGGGGAGCTATAAGTCTGTTCACAGAGACAGCTGCAGGGTAAAGGTATCTCTTAAGGTTAAGAATGTGACAGCAATCCTTCCATGCAAAGGCCTAAAGTGGAAAATGGACAGAGCTGATAGTACGTATCATTCTAAGTTGCTACCTCATATTTAATTTAATAAAAAACAAGTGTCTTGATTTTATTTCATTTTTTTACTATGTAAACTATTTAAACAGTTGTTTTCCTCATCAGACACGTAAAAGAAGCCCTGTAGAGCCGTGTCTCCAGCTCTGTCAACAAAATATTTATGAGGAAACTGACAGTTGTCAATAACTAATCCCCGCCTCACTGTCAGTGTCGCCTTTCCTCTGTTGCTTTGTGTCAGAGAACAGTCGCAGAGTTGCATAAAACAGATCCGAGATCAGTATTATCACAGCCCAGCTGCTTTCATTAAAATGGGATCACTACAGTGCAGCTTCTCTTTCCAGCTCAACTCTCCATCACCTCCTGCTGCAACATTTAAAACGTGTTGAAACGTTCATTTTAAATTAGCAAGGCAATGCTGGTGCTACACCGGGTTTTTAAAAAGCTGACAATAGTTTATTTTAACTGAACTGTTCAGCAGTGAAACTACCACATAATTACATGTAATAACAAGATTTTTTGCTTTGAAATGGTTTCGTATGGATGACCTGGACAGTGAACAAGAAAAGCTAAATCTGCTCACTAAGGTCTTGCAAAACTAACTAAATGAATACCGTTCATGCTGTGTGTGTTGCTAAAGAGAAGGAGTGCTGCACGGCTCTGATGATTTACTCTGCAGGGCTCTCTCTGAGCTTTTTGCCTTACAAGGAGAGACAACGAGGGAGCTCCCACAGACCTCTGGGCTCTCAAAGTCTCTGCTCATTCTCCTTCTCCCATCCTCGTCAATAGTTCTCTAATATTTGGACTCTACCAGCACGCTTCTTTCTCTCTTTCCTCTTCTCTCATGCTGCCAACCATGTTTCTCTTCCCTTTTTTGTCCTCTACTGTGCTGATTCTTTTCCTCGAAAAGATAAACCAAGCAGAAAAAGTAAAATAAAGAATGCAATGGTCCATACAGATTAATTATTACGTATATATGTTATAGTATATGTAGTATGTGCATTGCATTTAATACAACCATTAAATGGGAGAGTGGAGTGTTGCAGTGAGTCAGGGAGCCCCTGTCTCCTTTTATAGCAGAAGAAAGAGGATTATTTAAGTATGCAGTCTGGGTCAAAGCCCTGTCGTTGCTCTGACTGGAGCTAAACGGAGCCAGGATGCACTGTTTGCAACTCCAGGCCTGAAAACAAACATGACAAAGCAAACTGGGCAAACATATTATCACCTAAATAAAAGCTGTAGATGTTTTGTGCCTTGTTGAGGTTGATTATGATAGACAAAACTACTTCAACTAGATGCATATTTTTAGAAAAATACTAATAATTGCCTAGCAGCAGGAGGTTTCTGCAATCCTGCTTATTTAGGTACATCAACAACAGCTGCTGCACAGGGAAAGGGATTCACACACCCACACATATTTTCCAAGTCAGTCCAGGGAACTTTACAATGTGAGTGTTTCTACCTTTAGAAACATTATATTGTAATATCCTGATGCATGCACAATAATCCAGGTAGAAAAATCTAAAAAAGTTAAGTCTGGTCCTCTGGACAAATCAAAAATTATATTGTAATATGCATAACCAGGGGTCTGCAACCTGCGGCTCTGGAGCCACATGTGGCTCTTTGGTCCCTCTGCAGCGGCTCTTTCAAGCTTTGACCAAAACTGACATAAAACTGAATTTTATTGGTTGTTATACAAACAACAACAACAACAAATACTAGTTTTAGCTGTTTTCCTGCCATTTCTTTTGCAAATACTAATTAACTTTTTTTGCTTTATTTCTATACCTAATTGTTTTTTTCACAATTTAAAAAAATCACATAGGTCTGCACAGTTCAAAGACTTTTTTTTTTTTAAACTAACCCCCACCACCACATTTACAAGAATCTGGCCTTTTCATTTGTATTAAATTGTAAAAATATCAATAAATGTTAAAAATCATTAGATATTTTTAGCTTTATAATGTCATCACTACTGGCACAAAAGTCTCCTCCAAAAAAAAACGAAAGTGGCCCATGAGCCACCAGTTGATAATCACAGTTGTAGCAGGTTGTTGCGGCTCTGGACACATTTAATTTAGTAAATGAAGTTATAAAAATGGCTCTTTTGATCATAAAGGTTGCAGACCCCTGCACATGACATTTCAGCAGCGACACGTGTTTCAAGTTTGAATCATACCTGTTCCAAAGCTTTCCTCCCCGCAGAGAGAGCAACGCCCAGAATCCATCAGGTTCCCGAAGTACCTCCAACCCGTCGGTGTCTCATACAATGCCAGTTTCATGGCTTTGGCTACCCTACAAACAACACAGGCAAGAAAAGAAATAGACAACACTTTTACATTTGCTCACAAACACTTGCATTCATCTAACATCCAACTTTTACAACAGTAGAAAGATAAACCTGCACATCGAGTCTCTGAGCGTTGAAAGAAAACAAATGTTGCATGAGAGCCCCAGTCTGCCAAAAGTTCATGCAATAACTTAATAAGGCAAAATGCTGCAGGAACAAAGTGAGTCAAGCTTTTTGTTGATGTTCACTTTGAACACGAGTAAGTAAGAGGGAGTATGTATGTGAGTAGATGTGTTTATTGGGGTCGCAAAGGGTGGATGATGTGCCAAATATGTGTAAGGAGAAGGAAAAAAAAAAAGGGAAAACTGTTTTCAGTTTAAGCACACAGAAAAGTAACTGCTGGGTATAAATGCATTTCTGTGACATAGTTTATGCATTTCCCTCCTAGGTCTTTGGAGGACTTCAACAACTTTTTGTTTTATGACCCACAAGTGTTTTGGTCAGCTCCCATCGCTCTGACAGCATGCTTTGCAGCAAAAGCCGGCAGCTGTTTTCTTGTTTAAAAAAAAAACCTTCACATTAACGTTGTACACTACCTGCCTGAATGACAAACTGACTGAAACGATGAAAGTGGTGAAAAGATTTTTTTGCAACCACCCTAAAAAAACAAAAAACAAAAAAAACAATTTTACAGAAAACAATAAAATTATTTTGTTGACTGGTCCAAGCCTATTGCTGTCATCATGCCGTGATCTTGAGCTTTCACTGGAGCGGCTCACACCCGAAGGTGAAGCAGCTGAGATGAAGATCAGAACCTCCAAATCTGAGGCCATGGTCCTCCTTTAGAAATGGATGGACTGCACTCCTCACTGGTTTGGGAGTGAAGTGCTACCTCAAGTGGAGGAGGATCTCAGGGTATTGTTCACAAGTGAGGGGGAAACAGATCAGCACAGCTTCCACAGTACTGCCGACTGTGCCGGTCTCAGCGTCAGGATCTGTGTTTTTGATGTATTTTTGATGGGATTTTTTGTGTCTATTATAGTTTATTTTTGTTTGTTAATATGTTTGTTTGCTCTGGTCCTCAGTGTTTTTCCTTCCCCATTAGTCAAATTTTGTTTCTCAGACAGCTCTTACCAGTCAGTGTTTTTCCAGTCAGTCTGCAATGATGACACATGCTCTCTGTCTCACCTGTCACAGCTGCAGACACCTCCCTCAGTCCATGTAGCTGTTCAGACCTCATTCATTCCTCAGCGGAACGTTGTTTGGCTTTCGTGCGATGTCATTTTATTTCTTCTGTGCATCTCTGTGTCTCTTTCCTCCTTGTGCCGACCTTTGGTCTTGTGCAAGTTGTGCTGCCGTATCAGCCTTTTTGTTTGCCTTAAAAGTTTTTTTTTTAATACTCAAGTAAATCTGCATTCCTAAGCTCTAACCTAAAAGCTATGACCATCCGTCCATCTGTATGGCTGTCAGTTTGTCCATCCATCCATCCATCTATCCATCCATCTATCCATCCATCTATCTATCTGCTAGCGAGCCAAAAAGTAGCGTGTTAGCAAAATAGCCAACAACAATGCTAACTATTTTGACCAGTTACCTAAATATCCATCTACATAGCTATTTAGATTGGGTAGCTGGCAACATTGCACAGCTCTGTAGCTTTGTGATGTAACAAAGTAGTGGTAGCTGTTACAAAACATCTATATTTGAGCTTGCTAGCTCAGGTAGATGGTTTGTTTGAAACACAAATGAATGCACTGTATTCTTCTTGTTCCCCACATCCAGACCATCATCCACAACCACTCAGATGATCAAAACAACATGTAAACATGTTGTTTTGTTTAAGACCTATTTGACAAAATATCCTAAGCAGATGTTTCAGTTACAAGAATAAACATGTGCACATGTCAATCTATGACCCACAATGTGATGTATCTGAATGTGTGATGCTTTCAGGGTGTTAAAGTGGTAGTCCACACATCCGCCTAATTATCATGTACATAAATAAACTCCAAAGTGTCCTGCGCAGTTGTTTACAAGTTGATGAGATAAATGACCAAATATGAGTAACCCAGCTTTATCCCCCCCCGGGAATGCAAGCACCGGAACGGAAAGCTTAGCATTCCTAAAATATAAACAAACAAGTCCACCGATGAACATTTGTCGTTTCGAATGGCACGTCCAACAGCCAAAATAAGCCACAGTACTGCTTGCAAGGACAAATCCAAAAATGTAGAGTCTGAAACGTGAGAAAGGAATGTCTTCTGTATTAAAAAAAACCCTTACTTACTAATGTTATCTTTTTCTTTTGTGCTTTTGCGTGTATTTCTCTTGAACATTAGTAAAGAGGTCCATCTGCATCTGAAGTGTGAAGTCTCGAAGATTACCCTTTTCAGCTCGACATTTTACCAAACATAGCATCCAGTGTCTCCGCACGCCACCTCCTTCTTTGAAGAGAGCTCAGTTTGGACTTAAAGGCTTGTTTTCAGATAGAAGGTGCAGCACACTTGAGCTTCATTTGAGTTGATATGAAACATGTGTGGCAGAAACAAAAACTGGATACTAATATTTCAAGGTCTTGCCAAAAATAGTAACGTTGACAGTAGTTAAAAGTAATGTTTAAAACTCTATTTTATGAAATCCAATATTAAGATGGAATTTTCTGGCTCAAAGCAGCATTTTGAGAAGTGTGCAAAGCTGAGAACACGTTTATCATTGTTAAGTCTATTTTGGAGTAGAAGTATGCCTGTTTGGTTTAACTTGGCAACATTCGGGATTAAATCTTCAATTACTTAATTAATTGTTGTATAATACTGTACTCATTGACAGCCTTTCACAAATTTTCTTGATAACCTTGTGAGTGTATTCTCATTTTTTGACCGGTGCTATTTGTGGAAACACAAACACATTCCCATCAAACTGGCCTAGAATTAGCTTAATTGTCCATCCATCCTTTATCTTTTACCCACTCCTTCCTTTTCAGGTTGCAGGAGTCACTGGTGCCCATGTCCAGCACAGTGAGAGAGGCGGGGGACCATGGAGGGTGCCATACGCAACTGTGCAACCTTGATCTCAGTGGTATTATTTCTAAATGCATTCTTAATAATGATAAAGAATCTCTGACTCTGACTTAATGTCCAAAATGACCTCTTTACTATGGATATACACAACACTGCATGACTTGTCACATTATACATTTAGAAACTTTTCTAGTATCCAGTACCACAAGAAAAATGTCTGAGGGGTCCCAAAATAAAATTAAAAGCTACCCTAAACAAATTTGGTGGAATAAAATTAACTGCCCTTTTCTATTATTTATAGCAAATATTAGCACAACGTCAAATTTTTTTTTGTTGTTTTAATCATTTGTTGGCTCAATTTTTCGTCAAGCGAACAGAAACACCAGCTGCTCAACCCTTCTCTCATGTCCTCCCAATTTGGGAGCTATGAAAGAAGAAGCAGATGTTTCCTTTAACAAAGTTTCCCTCACACTGCCTCTTCCTCCATCGCTGCACCAGCTCATGTGCACAGAGAGAGACGCAGGCACTCATGCACAGAAACAATGAAGACACCAGCTAAAAGGACTCCACCCTCCTGTCCAACTGATTTAATCGATTTCCTGCACAACTAAAAATCCTCCGCTGATTTTCTCATTCCCTGTGAACACACAGATCCATACACACACACCATCGCATCCATCATGGCTTTTATAACACAATGCGCTTCACTATCCATAAACAGAGCTGGGAGGTGTGGTCAGTCTAAACTCTTAAACACACTCTCCTAAAACGGCTCACACTTGGGCAGATTCCAGCATCAAACACAACACCACTAAGTGTTTCAACACTTCCTGGAGTTTGTCAAAGACATGCAGACATGAGCACTGGCGTTACATCGAGAACCTAAGAGGTGGTTGAGAATCCGAGAACCGAGCAAAGTGACCATCCTTTGCAACAACAGTGGTAATTACTATACTTCATATAAGATTTGATACCACAGATCAGGGGTCGTCAAGCTTTATATTTAAAAGTTCAAATCTGTTTTCTAGATCAGGTCAAAGGTCCAGAACAGCAATATTCTTTTTTGGTAAATTTGTTTACAACTTACAGCTAACAAATGGAACCATTTGTCTAGAAACTATTGCTTCCGAACTTGGGCATCTCTAACTTCTGACAGTAAAGCCTAATGTGCCTTTATTTCCACACAAGAATAAACATATTAAATAAACTGAACTTAAAGGCAACAAGTCACTGTAACATGGTAAATGAACTGTACTTATATAGCACCTTTCTTTCCAATAGGATACTCAAAGCCCTTTTCAACAATCTAAACTCTCGTTTACCCACCCACACATTCATGTAGCATCTTATTCCATCTCTACAAACCTAATCTGAGTAAATAATTTTGTACAGACTAATCAGTAATTTACATCACATTCATACACTGATGGGACAAACATCAGAGGCAATGACGGGTTCAGTGTCTTGCACATTGACACTTCAACATGTGACTGATGTGACTGCATCCAGTGAAACTGAACCCTCAACTCCCTCAATGGAGGATGACTGCTGTAACTAAGCCCCAGTTGCACCATCAAAACACCAACAAAACTGAAACAAATGTGATCAAAGTTACAGATTACCTGAAACAGATAGCAGAGTAGCCCAGTGTGAAAAATGGCAATTCTATGGAGATACATCAGTCTCAAAAGTAGTCACACGAGCACAACAACATTTGTATGTCTACAATAAGATCCACGTGTGTACCACAAGTTTTACACATGCGCACTGCAAGAATCACAAATGCATAAGTAGTTTTTCAAATGTACACATTTCAAATTGCACAAGTAGGAATAATCTGTGCATACAAATTGCCAAACATACGTGAACAAATCACCTGCTGCGGAGAAATTCAATTCAAAAATACTTTATTAATCCCAAAAGAAAATTGTTGTTGTAACTCATTATCCATCATTTCATTGAGATGTTTTATAGATACTGATGGGTGTAGGCAGGAAGAATCTCTTGTAAAGGTTCGTCCTACAGCAGATCTGAAGAAATTGGCCTCAGATGCCATCTGATCCATCCACCCAGACTCGGCTGGCCTCTCGGTTCCCCCTGGGCTGCAGGACCAAATGCCAGGAAGAACTTCCCGAGCGATGCTCACTCCTTCCAGCAGCCTGCTGAGCTCACTGCGGACAGCCAGCTGCAGGTGTCGGGAGATGATCCCGGTCCCCCCGCTGTCACGAGCTACGTTTCCTGCCAGTTCCACGATCTCAGCAGTCAGGTACTCAAGCACAGATGGAAGGTAGATGGGAATGCGTCCACAGCGCCTCCTTTTCAACTCATTTGGGATTTAGGGCTGTAGTTGAGGTATTATTTGAGCTTTTGAGATGTTAATCAGCTGCTCCCGGTTATAAAAATAAAACATCTTGTTGTTATGTTATGGACATCATAACAAATGTCCAAAAGTAAAAAAGTTTCAGTTACAATCCTTCCAGCTGCACAACATCTGATACAAGAAGAAATATTTATTTAAAAAAAAAGTGATTTACATCTAGAAAAATAGGAATTAAAGTTTTCAAAAGCAATATCTCAGAAAGAATGTAACAGAGCTACTCCAACATGCAGCCACCCCGAGCAGCGCAGTTCTAGAAATTTATTGTGGCATCAGTTGATTTGGTGTCTAACCTGATTAAAGACTGGGGGAATTCCTACTAGTTACATTTGTGCGGTGCAGATTGGTCATCTAGTAATTGGTCACAACGGCCTTTTGTCCACGCCTGCCGTGTCCCGCATCATCAGGAAGACCAAGGCCTCGGTGGGATCATCCTCACATCAAGCCACAACCACAACAATCAATTCTAGAATCAGTCAGTCATAGATGATTGTTTATTCATTTATTTTGGTTGATTATAAAGATAACAATACATACTGTATAGTCACCAAAGCCCACATTTGTAAGAATGGATAAAACTAAATAATATGCTAACCTCCTAATAATATGTCAGTGGAATATATATTTGGATTCAACTGTATGTAATGTATCTCTTGTGGTTCTCTCACTATAAATAAAGATCTGAGTCCCTGGAGCAACATTCTTTTGAAGCCTTAGTTGGGTGCTCTGTCCTGCAGAAATGTTAATGGGAATGACTTTAGCTGTGATCACATCCTTTCACTCAACACTCTCTGACTGGCTATAGGCAGAGAGAGACAGCAGCAGTTGGTGAGAAGATCTTGGTGGTGTCAAGATGCGATACGAGTCCTTTCTGATTGTGTTTTTGTGTGGGTGTTCTACCTGTCGAGGGCAGCACTGGTGGCCATACTCCTAGCAAAGCCTCTGATGCCATGCTGTCTGAAGTACGGGATGGTGGAGAGGTTAGCAGCAATGACGGCCACCGAGTCTGACGGGTTCACAAAGAAGCCATTTTCTCCAAGGATCATGTAACGGTCCTAATAAAAACACACACAAAACATTGTGAGTCATTGTGTGAATGCTGACTCAGCATTCACAATATTGTTTCATTGTTCATAGCTTTGTCCATACAATTTTCCTATCAAACTATTTTCCCATACGTTGTGAAATTTTAACTATTTGTGTGTATCAGAATGTTCAGAATGATCTGGAATATTGTGCTATGACTTTTTTAATATTAATGTTTTCGCTTTTTGAATTGTTTAACTTTTTTAAGAAAATTCATAGAAATTCAATAAAATCCATTCAGCTCCCGCAAAATCGTTTTTCTGTGACCTTTACGTCAGCATACTTGCTTTATTTTTGTCATCTTTTACTGCATTTAAGTTTTAGCTATAGTTTTGCTAACTTTAGCTTCTAGCTATGGTTTTGCTCTCTTTTTTTTTTAGCTCTTTAGCAGTTTGGCCTGCTTGAATTTTAGGTGTGTTTAAGCTGTTAGCTAGAGTTTTGCTATATAGTTTTTAGCTACTAATTTCATACTTTGAGCTTTTAGTCATTGTTTTACAAATTATAACAGTTAGCAGTTTTGCACATTTTGAATTTTAGCAACAATTTAGCAGATTTAAGCTTTGATTTATGATTTTAGTCATTTTAGACTTTAGCTACAGTTTTGCTTCCGCACTCAGCATGCACACTATGTTTTCATCAACAAGGCAGTTCTTTAGTTTGATTAAATGTAGAACTGAATGTAAATGAGAAGAGATTTATCGTGTGTTTTCAGTTCCAGCAAAGACTGTGTTTCTTTCAGGCTATGCCGGAGAACAGGTACATCAGGTAAAGGATGTCAGTAAGATACTGAAATGTTTCTGCACAGTCTAAACCAAGCTGCTGTGTTTGGTTCAGTCTGTTGTTACAAAGGTAGTGGGGAGGAGTGAAACCCCCGTTATTCCTGGACATTTATGAGCAGTCTTCTCAAATAGACACAGGAAGTTAAGTAGAACCTGTCACACATTCTTCATGTGGAGTATGAACATGCTGCTGCAAAATGTGCAGTCATCACCGATATCATAATTTTACTAAATGATTCCAAAGGTTTAATGGATCTTGCAACTTGTGTCTAAGTTAGAAGACTGAAAATTGTTAGTAAGAAAACTTACTCTCATAAGGAATCATTGGTAAACAACTTGCCACCCTGCAACAGGAGACATGCTCCTACTCTAGTTTATTTTGAATCACTCCTGCACATTCTATCCCAAAATACTCACTAACTTAGTAACTCACTTAATGTGTATGATTTCATAGCTGAAAATATCCCAGCAACAAAAGTGGAATTTTACTCTTGAAGCTTGAAACACAGACCAGTTTCAGCTACAAATAAGCTCCAGTGGTTGTTAAATACTCCGTGTTTTTTGGTGTTCATTAATTATTTTATTTTATTTTTTGGAGCGTTTAGGGAGACATCAGTTACGCTGCTGTAAAACGTTAAGATTATTACCAGTGATGATAATAATTAAAAATATGGACCTAGGAGGGAGAACAGAGCAGGAGGCATGTAAACCTTCTGATTGTAAAATAACAATACTTGCAAACTGTGTGTGTGCATGGGTGTGTGCGTGTACAATAAGGAATGCCTATTGGAGGAAAAGGGGAGCAGCTTAAAACACGACACCTTTTTTCCTTTGTCAGCATACAAGCGGATATATTTAATAATATTAAATACAGCTCTTTTTTCTTCTTCAAACTTGTTGTTAGCGATGAGAGAGTTTTTCCTGAAAAGAAAAATGTCAGAACTAAGTGAATTATGAATTTGTAATAATCTGGGTTTCAAAACATTTTTTTCTTCTATCTTGCTTACGCGATAAAAGGAGTCTCTGTTATAGACATGTAGAACTACACAGTTCTAAAACACGTTTCTAAAATACAAATGTGTGCCATATGGATTGATACAAAAACAGGAAAAAATCATAAATGTGGCTGAAACACTCAAGCAACCAAAGTCCTAGATGACGTAACTCATGGACACTGAAGGAGGATTCTCCTTCAAAGAACACTCACAAGGAGACAAAACATCAAGTCACCCCAACAAATGTGTCTGACTCAAAAGAAAATAAGTTACATTTAATAAAATAATATGCACAAGAACTCAAAGCTTTACTGTCGCAGACTGTTATATTTTCACATGATGTTTTCTTTCTGAAATTAATCAAGCTTAACTTGATGTAAAAAAAGCACAAATCAGTGTCTAATAGTTCTTAGAATATGGGGACTCATTCTGAAAATGTGCTGTGGAGAAACCACAAAGTATTTCTCACTCCCCCAAAACATTTCTGAAAATCCTACATGATGGATAGCATTATGGACTTCATCAAGCTCTTTATAAACCTCTTGAATCGAGCATGTTACTGCAGAGAGAACTTATTTTATATTGGCGATTTAAAAACTATGAGGTGTGCAGGTGATTGCATCCGCCTTACCCCATCTGCATCAAATGCAGCTCCAAATCCAAACTCGCCTCCTTTCATAGCGTCAACCAGTGAGGTTGCATAGGTCAGGTTGGGCTCAGGAGGTCGACCACCAAAGTCCTCCAGTGGTACACAGTTGACTGCAGAGTTAGCAGGAGCCCCCAACTCATCACACAGGATCCTGCGCACATACGGGCCCATCACTTCCACCGTCAGAGGAGAGGAGAGGAAATGGGAGGAGTTTACTACATTATCTCGAATTACGATAGCAACAGAGGTTAGTAAAGTGAAGGGTGATCTCACCTCCATTCATGGCATCTATGTGTATCTTCGGCTGATCCGGTCCGGTGAGGAGACTTTTAATGGCGGAAAAGTCAAAGATGTTTCGAAGCAGTTGTAGATAGACTTCAACTGAGTCAACAATCTCCACTGGAAAAAAAAAGAAACGATCAGTAGTGGATGAAAATATGATTTTTTCTAAGCATTTGTATATTACTATCGTTGTCTATCTCTGTACTGACTCGGTCCTCTAGCTACTGTAATGCGGTGTTCCACAGGGATCCATTCTTAGGCCACTTTTATTTACTTTGTGTATCAATAATCTGACAGGGACATATCAAGCACTAAATTACACTTTTATGCTGATGGTTCTTTAATGTACTCTCATGCATCTACATCTTGTTATGGACTTTATTTACTTAAAGAGTGAATCTTTAAACACTGTGTAATGGATTTTGTATTCTTATTCTTTTTTTTACTATATTTATAAAGCCATATCCTCTAAAAATAGTATAGCAAAAATACTGAGGGGCTATTGCTGAGGATGACTGTTAAGATAACTGTAATGAGTGTATTGTCAGACTGACTTTTAGTTTGCTATGTTGTACATTTTACTGCTTTACAAAAATATAAAAAAGGAAAAGCTTTGGTATGATCAAACAATTATGTTAATAAATAACGTTGTAAGCTAATATTTGGGCCCAAAATACATGTATTTGTACCTCTGAAAGGTTTGAATTTGTTCTCAAGATCAAAATCTTGCCTCCCCGGCCTAGAGAGATCAATATGCAGATCAGGGCAGATGGCATACTCCTCCAGTGTCCGGCTCACCTGGGAGATCCTCTCCATCACTGTATCTGGAGACGGACCTTTGAGAGAGAAAAAAATAAATAAAAAACGCCACAAAAAACGTCACGACAAACGCTCATTTAAACCAGTTAGGACTTCTAATTGTAAGGTAGCTGGAATCAGGATGAGAAAACAGCTCTAGCCCACAGCTAGCCCTCACCTCCGTTTGCCACATTAAACTTGATTCCAAAGTCCCCACCGGGGCCTCCGGGGTTGTGGCTTGCCGTGAGGATGATCCCACCAATGGCCTTGATCTTCCTGATGATGCAGGACACGGCAGGCGTGGACAGGAGGCCGTTGTGACCGATTACCAGACGACCAATCTGCACCGCACAAACAGGAACTAGTAACAATTTCACTTGTCTTTAATCAGGTTAGACAACAAACCAACTGATGCCACAATAAATAAAATAAAAAAACTAAAAAAAAAAACTTGGGCGACTCATTTACCGCCTGCTGTAAAAAGAAAATGATCTGCTCCAAGTGTGTGCCTAAACAGAAGTGTCATGCTCTCTATTTATGTCACATATGAGTGTTAATACCATCATTCCATAATTCCCCTGAATATCAGCTCTGAATAAAAGTGTCCTCATCAAACAGGAATTCATTCCCCTAAAATCAGAACCTTCACAAAGTGTTGGTTTAGGAAATTAGGAAATAATTGGGTTTATTTAGTAACCACTGTCAATCAGAAGTGCATGGTGTGAGCTGGTGTTGCCACTTTCCTTCTGACTCTTTGCCACTCATACACACACAGAGAACAGGGATCCCCTGTGTGTACAGCTCCACTCCGAGGTGCAACAGTGCTGCGGGGGTGCGGCGGCGGTGAAACGTAGGCAGGAAAATGGAGCAGGATGGATGGATTCGCTGATAAGGCTGACACCAAGAGACATCTGGCTGGAGCCAGCAGGAAAAAAAAAAAAGAATCTCAAAAAACAGATTACTGTATTTTCCCTTGAGATTTTTTTTTTCCTTTGGAAATAATCCAAACTAATCATCAAGGTCTCCCAGCAAAGGGTTTTTGAAAAAGATGTGGGGAGTTTCCTCTGCCTTCCTGTTTGTTTCATGAATCCACTGCTGACATTTTGAGTTCATAAGTTTGCTGCTGTTGGTAACGGGAACTGCAAACAGGAAACATGAAGCTGAAAAGGTGGACAGGTTGCTCATGATTGTGCGTTCGCTTGTGGCGTTCGCAAAATGTTTTGTGAACCAGCCAATGGAAACAAGTGAAACTCTCAGCAAGTATTAATCGAATGAACATCGAGAACTGATTAACCTTAAAAGAAAATCCCATTCAAGATGGATGCCACGGTTAAGCAAACTTAGCAAACACACAAATGATGATAACTCCGACAAATTTACAGATACTGAGCTCAAGATTGACGAGGAAGTAGCTGAAAGTCTTTAACAAAACATCTTCTGAGTGTGTGATGATGGTGAAGGATCTGTTTTCAAATCTTCCCATTAACTATTAGTCAACTGCATCTGTCTGTTAGCAAAATATTCCATAAGCCACAGGACATATTTAAATGAAACTTACAGAAATAAATCAGTGGCTGTACAACAACAAGTGTTTCGCTTTTGGAGTCATTCCCATTAAAGATGGCTGCCCCAGCCCACTGAACTAAGGAAACACAAAAATGGTTACAACTCAGCTAATTGTGGAGATATTGAGCTGAAAGGTGGTGTAATGGTGGCCAAGCCTTATCCCCAATAAGCAATACACATCACATTATATTTTTGCCTAAAGCTTTGGCATTAACTGTTGGCGTCAATCGTGTATACCCGTTAGCAAAATATCCCATGAACAACTGGACGGATTTAAATTAGGCTTTCAGAACGTAATCCCTGGTACATCTACAAAGGGAACTTATGGAGTCACTCCAGGTTTTAAGATGGCCACCACAGCTTATTTAGCTAACACATTTGGTGTGGTGGTAGTTGACAGTCATACACACGCACGCTGACCTTGAGATCTCGCAAGACCTCAGATTAACGCATGTGATCATGAGCATTGTCTTTTACAAGGTTTGACCAAAATTGGCTAAAACTTCCCTTCTTGGAGCAGTGGCAATTGTAGCCTCTTTTGGGGGGGGGGGGGGGGGGGGGCTCAAGCAACAAAAAAATTTGAACTTAGCACCCTTGAAAAGTAAAGAAACCATCATTACGATTGTGTAAGGAAACTCAGTTCTCACCAAGATTACTGAACACTAGAGTCACCAAAATATTGAATACATTTTGAATAAATAAGTGATGACCCTTAAACGAATCAGTAAAATCTATGATTTTTTTGTTTTGCACGAGTCAGATCCTCGATTCCACCTACATATATCAATCCAGTAGGCTTCTTAGCAACTGACCAATGGGAGACCTGGGTGGGGCAGTGGGGGCGGGGTCCAGTAGTGCCAAGTCACAACAAAGTTGTCTCAGGGCACTGCACAAAAACAATTACATTAAAAAGCCAATTAGTAAAAGTTAAGGAAGTCAGCAGATTGTGTTTGATCTTCACTTTGTCGCAGTCTTGTGAGCAAGCACAAATGCAACAGTGGAAAGAAAAAAAAACAACAACTCCCTTTTAACAGGAAGAAACCTCCAGCAGAACCAGGCTCAGGACGAGCAGCTATCGGCTTCACAAGGAGGACTGTTGGTCAGGCTACTTCTTGTGCCGTGCTCTCTAAAATAGTTATTGAACCAAGTGTTTACTTATATGTAAACATGGCTGTAAAACATAGATGTTTAACAACCCGTTAAAATACACCAGAATGCAAGTAATGGCATCTTTATTCAAAATCCCCCCCCCCCCCCCACACACACACACACACACACACACTAGTGTCCCCTTCCCACATTAAAAATGCTTCTGACGCCAAACTGCGTTGCTCAAGCCATGAGCCATTGTCAGCAATAGGGGGGGTGGAGGAGGGCTAAGCACCCCCCAAAGTCAGATTCTAGAATCGCCCCTGTCTTGGGCTTTGACATGAAAGGCCAGTTTTATTATGTTAACTCCTCTGAAGGAGTTTTAAAGTTGTTCAGCAGATGTTTGACGGCCTCGCGGGTCTCTCACCCCGTTGGCAGCTGCCATCTGAACGATCACCTCGATGGCAGCCCGGCTGAAGTAGCGGCCGTCGCTGCCCACCACCATGGTGCAGCCCTGCCGGTCCCGCAGATCCATGGAGGACAGGACGCTCTGGATGTAGTTCTGCAAGTAGTTCTTCTTCCCCTCGAACACGGCCGTCTTCCTCCGCAGCCCGTTGGTACCCGGCCGCTGGTCCTCGAAGGGGGCGGTTTGGACAGTCACCACCGGGATGGGGCTCGTCTCCATCCTGCGTGTTGATGTCAGGACCCAGCAGCAGGGAGGACACGGGACAAATGAAAAGTTGTCCTCCTACTGTGAAGTAACCAGCACGGACCCCCACTTCGAGGCAAAGACGCACTTAAAGAAATGGAGTTTTCAGCATCCCTCTGAAGTATCATCAGAACACTCCTCTGCTCTCAGACAACTCCCTCTTTGCCCTAATAAGAATGAACGAGGGAAAAAAACGGGGAGGGACAGAGTTTGTACAATCAGCTGAGCCTGCAGCCAAAAATAGATATCTGACTGATGGCAGGGGGGGGGGGGGGGGGGGGGGGG